CGATGTCGAGTCGACGTCCGATGAGTCATTTCTCGCTGGACGCATAATGATTCATTGATCTCGTGGGAAACGAATTTCTATCTTCCGCGGACATTGTCATCGCGCAGATGACAAAGCTATCGATACAATGAGCATCCTCGTGACGATCTGGGAAGATGGAAAAAGTCAAATTCGTTAATTCCTTCTTCGCGTTGTAGCCCCTGGTCTCCCAAAGAAGAGTCCTGGCTTTTTCCCCGATTTCGGTTACAGTACAATTTATTAATTTAAAAAAATACATATCTCAATATTTGATCAGTTAATTGTCTCACGTGCGTCATCGATGAAAATCATAGAATAGTATCGCGAGTTGTGTATTCTGCGATTCGCGTTGACGATCGACCGTCGATTCTCCTCTCTGAGAATGTACGATCATGCCGCAGGTATAGCGTGGATTTTCCCCATCAGTCATCGGAAATAATCCTCCGGCGGGCTTCTCGTCGACAGAAGGTCGTCGTAATCGGAAACGGAAGTAACGCGGAAGTAACCGCGAGGGTTGTAGGCCCCCGCGATTTGCATAAAAGTCATTTGTCACGGAGATAGTCGCTTCCTGAGTTAAAACTGGTCCTTGAGCATGTTTCCTGACCAAGACTTTCGTTCGCATCATCGGCGGAGTTCAACGGGCCGAGACCTTCGAGCGGAAATACGGAAATAGGCCTCCTTAGGTCACAGATCAATAGATTTCAGATCCTTTCTAACAATCCCTCGGCCGTAATACATAAGCATTTTGTACGAGACTGATGTTTGTCGAGAGCGAAATTTCATCGGAATATAATCGGAACATAATCGGAAAATATCCTGTTCGCTTAAGAAAATCAAATCGGAACTCGTGCAGAGAGAATTTCTGGCACTACTCTCTTTTGCTGGAAACGTCGAGCACTTGTATACATGCAACATTTTTCGACGATATATACAATGGATTATATTTATCGTAAAACACCAACTTGTATCGCAGCATCGAAGGAAACAGATTTAGTTAGGTTAAACAAATGAGATACATCGAAATCATATTTCTTTGAATCTACTAAACTTTTATTTACTTAAAAACTTGCTAGATTTGAAGAAACGGATATGAATTCCACTCTCCATTAAATATAATTTTGGTAAAGGTAAAAGAAAATAGTTTCTTTGAAATTAAATAAAAGTCTGGTAAGGTCAAAATTCAAACGAATCTATGTGATTTTAAACAAACTCTTTCGCGATAACGTAACCCGATTTAATATTCACAAACTGACGTTGATAAATTAAATTATTAATCACGTTGCGAATGGGAGAATGAGTGAGAATTGATCTACCGGATCGATCTGCGTTATACGAGCTTATAAACATCACGGTGCCCATAAATTACGGTCGCTATCGGATATCGAATCAAAGTGGTCCACCCACGAATTATCTTCGCGCGCGTTATACGATGTTACAACTTGTATTATTATATTATTGAGTGAGTGCAGAAATTCGAGGAGATAACTGCGAGACAATTATTATCAATTACCATTCACAGTTGTCGCATACTAGAGCTACGTAAAAAAAAGATCTATTTTATAAATAATTTTGGGAAGAGAATCGATATTTTTCCTTTCCCGGCGATATCGTTAAAATTGTGGCGGGATTCTCGCTTTAGCGTAGACTTTTGTTATTTAATTAAAAATCTACGAGCTGTTCTTTTGCTTTTCAGAAAATACGATCGCGTTTCTTGACTCACTCACTCGCGATCAACTGTGTAATCACACGAACGTAATTTCCGCGCAGATGTCATTTCGAAGTGTTACACCGAGTTGACAAATAAGACAATGGTATCGGCGACAGAACGAGATGAAAATCATGACGGTTATACGCGGCGGATGTATTTTACAATTTCCGTCTCGTCTGTTTTCCCGTATAAACTCCCGGAGGCACGACGTAAGAGAGATTTGCAGGTCAGTCGAAAAGAAAACGAGAGAGAGAGAGAGAGAGAGAGAGAGAGAGAGAGAGAGAGATATCTCCTTGGATCGGAAATTGATTTCGAAGGCCTCGGCGATCGTATAATTCTCGGTGGTCGAAAGGAACCTAAACCTATAAAGGTGCATCAAGGAAACGTGCACAAAAAAAGAATGTAGACGCCAATTAAGCAAGAAAATCTCCCAATCCACGAGTGCGTTAAAAATGGACTGAACTAACACTATAACGAATCAACACAAGATCTGCGAGTTGCTACGATTTTTCAGGTATAAAGATAAGGTGACTTTTCTCTGGACAGTGCCAAGTCTACATGGAGACACATCTAGGTAAATATTATACATATGAATTACGCTTCAATTGAATTAAAATCAATTGCATTAATTAACTGAATTGAATTATTAGTATTACTTCACGCACGACAAATTTCTCGAGTCTGTTTAGGTAGGTTAAAAAATCAAACTTTGCAACGCATCGATTTGGCAAGAAATAGTTTAATTGCCGCGTTATGTTTTCATATCGAGCTTTCATGAAAGGTGGAAGGGGGCGGATCGACTCGAGATGGAAAACGAGAGAGGGTGGGAGACAATGCAACGATAAAATGCGTTTTCGCCAGGCATTTTCGCGGGTCAGGGACGCGCACGAGAGCGCGCCGCTAATCGCGACTGCTCCTATTGTCAGTTAACGTTTACTTTTTATACCGCGAGCGTAGTACTTTGCAATCGCTAAGGAGGCCATGCCTCCCGCCGCGACTGGACGTAAACGTTACCGTGCTTAAACTCTCTTAAACGCCGAGAGCCGGTCGTAATCGGCAGTAGCGATCGTGCGATCGCGTAAAGATAGTGAGCTCTTGAGGAAAAAAAAGAGCCTCAAAGTGATGATCGATCTGCCACCCGTTGCTCATCGATGCGACTTCCCTTCCTGCTGCGACAGGTTCCTTCGCTGATAAGGGTTGCCCTTCGTCACAATCGTTACTCCTTCTTCAACCCCCGGCACCCTCAGAAAGGATTTCCGTTACCGAGAGAAAAAATATTCTCGACGCATTTATATTTCTCACAACCTCATTTGGTACAAAACTAAGACAATATCAAAGTAAAATCAATAATTCTTATTCTTCTCTATCGAATTAGAAAAGATCGGCTTACTATATTGAGACAAGAGCAACTTATATAAATGTAAGTTTAGAATAAATTTTCCCTCCGTCTTGACACCACGATATTCGACAAAAGGCGATACTGTCATTTTGTTCTAGATTTGAGAATTTTTCATTTAAGATTAAGATATTCCTTTCTCTATAAGAAATGTGATTGACGCTATATCGATCCTATTTTGCGATACATTCAAGTGTAATAGCATTGATTGTTGCATTTACGTTTGTGGCAGCTCGTGACGTTAACGTTCAATCCAAGCAACTTAATTTTTTTTAATTCAACAGCATTTGTGTGGAATAATACGTTTTCTTAAAAAGTCGAAAATAAATGCGTCGACTTAGAGTTCACACATTCTAACGATTCAAGTAAATTTTCATCTCAAGAGAGAAAAGGACTTCTCTCAAGTCCTCTCTCGTCTCCCCTTTCGCCACGCGATCCCTAGATCCTTCCCGAATGTCTTCACTCCGAATCTGTGCGTCTCCGTGCGTCGCCGGACGTGTCGTTCACTCGCGACCGCGTATTTCCCCGGAAAGCTGCGTTAATGCGCGAGCACGAACGGAGCTTGATTTATTGCCGAGTCGAATCGGAATTAGCTTATCGCTCATCGGCAATAGGATCCGGCCGGTGACGGTGCAGAAAAAAAAAGGCAATTTCTGTCACTGGAAAACCCTATAACGGCGACGCGGGATATCGGCGAGCCTCGCGCAGATCGCAATCTGCAAACCGCAAACTCTGAAGAATGAAACTGCATCTTTGGCTCGGCTGCATTGAATCATTCTTCCGCGCATCCGCCAGTTCTCTTCGCGATAATCGTTACTCTTGTATGTTTTTTCCACGACGAGAAAACCCTCATTGTCATCAAAATTAATCGTTCGTTCAATTTCATCTGCAGCTTGGGCTCAACATTACACGCATTTCGTTAAAGTACAACTTTCCACGACCCCGCAGTACCGGTACAATATTATTATTTATTATTCGCATGCCTCGGTGGTCGAATTGGTGAGACGCCCGCCTAGAGCGTAGGGTGGTCCAGGTTCAAACCCTGGCTGAGATAGTATTTTTCGCAATAAATTTTCTGTATTATTGAAAACGCCAGAAAACGCTAATTACCGCTGGCGACATCAAAGAAAATATTCCGATCAGTTAATTGTTGTTTACGATAAAAATCAATACGGATTTCAATTCGCGCTCTATGAATCGCTTTCTCAAAATTCAGTTCAAGACTATTCGTCGTTTATTTCTACGCGCATTGTGTGCCTCGCGGAGATAGTGACTCCTCGTTAAAAATCCAAGCTAATTTCTTATCCTACTCGTAAGTCCGGATCACAATTTGCATTTCCATTCAAGTATATCCGCCCCGGTGGCCAAACGGTCCCACTGTCGTCATATCGATACGAGGCGTTTCGACTACGGGATCGGATTTCGGAGAATTCGTTTTGGGACCAGCCCTGCCCGCGAGGGTGTCCAGGGGGGAAACCACGGGGACCGTCCTGGAAGGGCGTGCATTTCGCGGATCGCGGCCGCACGTTTCGCGTAGAGCCGGCGGCCGCCTTTGCCGCGCCGCGGTATAAATGCGAAGGCGCGGACGAAAATCGTCTCAGTGTCGAGCGCGAAAAAAGCCGCGGCGGTGCTGCTGCCGCCTCGATCTACCGTTCTCCATCGCGCAACACGCGGGCCCGCGGCCTCCCCAGCCTCCCCGGGAGGACCACGTGTGCGACCGGCGCGAGGAGGCGCCCGCGAGACGGACATCCGGAAACCGTCGCCGGGCGATTAGATGATCGGTGCCTTCCGCCGCGACACTCGGACTTCCGGCGGTTTTGTTTCCCCCCTCCTCTTCCCCGCGCCTCCTCTCGCGTCATCCCCGCGAGAGCGATTACGGGGTCGGCCCGGGTCTGCAATTGTCTCTTCGTCGACGTCTCCTCGGCACTCGTGTCCTCCCTAATTTATGACCCGCGTCCACGTAAACGCTCGCGATTATCGCGGACGAGTGAGTACCGATGACAGGTTTCCCGGGAGGACGCGAGAGCGAGAAGTAGAGAGATTCTGTTTTGTCACCGCCGACACCAGTGCCGATATGGAAGAGGATTGCGCAAGGCGTTAGAGAGGAATATCCTTGCCACTGCCTGATCCGCCCGAGAGAGTAAGCTGATAATTGCAAGGTACTTACATCCCGTGATTTATCATCCGCGCGCGATGCCTGAACTAATCGCCTTTCCATCAAGTTATCCATGTTAATTAAATTAAATTGAATTAACCGAGTGTTCCGTCGGACGTGCGGAATTAATTCCCTATCAAATTGAATCTACACGCGCAATCTAATTAGAATCAATGTAAGCGTGGACTGATAGGAGATAGGAAACTTCGTTCCGCGCCCGACAATCGTGTGACGTCAGTCGTCCTGACGTGGGACGCGAAATTTGTTTATTTTGTTACGACACTTTTCGTCGTTCCATTCAGCTGTTATGTAAAATATCGTTCGCGTTTTCTTCTGTTTCTCAACACGTTGAGATCGATATGTCGCGGTCGAAGATTTACTCGCGGGAAAACCTGCTCGTCGCGAAATCGCGTGCTGCCAATTCGTTCCCGCCGTTCGCCGAAGTAGCAACCAGGGTACATTTGTCGCGGCAACGTACAACTGTTAGATTAAGTAGAAAAACAAAAATGCCCCGTGTACACATATTTTTTGCACGTACGATAAAAATAACGTCAATGGGAGCGCATGATCGGCCGTTGAACATTAAATAGGCAGGAAGGGCGAGCGCCGTCCAAGCGCCCTTAATCCGCTCGTAATCGTTTAATAATAAGGATCTCATGGCGGCCGAGACGCGTCTTTCATAGCCCATGAAACGCATGAGAATCGGCGCAGCTGACATTTGCAAACAGATTTATAACGTTGTTAATCGGCGTCGATCTTATCGAATAAACGCAGGCGTCGAAGCGGCATGGCATGATGAATGGACGCGCGATGGGGACGATAAGTCTCGAACTCTAATCCACTGGTACCGCGTTAATGGGTTAAATTGCGTTAAGCGCGCGAAACTGATTGAGGATGGCGACGATAAAAGGCCGATCTCGTGAGTCACGAGACTCGGCTGCCGGTTCCTTAAGCATTTCGAGTGGCGAACCGTCGGCGAACAATCGCTCAATCGCGCGGCCATTATTCCAATTTGTGCGCCGCAAGAAATCGCGCGCGTTGCAATAAGCAGTTCGAGAGGTGAAATTCCGTTTCCTTCGTTGACGCGATTTATTCCGATTGAGTTTTACCGATGCTGAGATAAAGAAATTCAAGTTCAGCGTTTACGCGGCAAATGTAGTAATATGCAATTAATAAAATTCATAAGGCTCTAATATAAAAACACAAATGCGAAGTAATAAAGGAGTAAGAGCCAAGACGGTGTATCTTTCATGTCACTCTATAATTAATAAATAAATGCTAACTGAAATGCATCTAATCTACCATAATTTAGTCTAAGACTACGTTTTATTATTGTAGGACTGTTGGCAAAAATACACTTTAAAAACAAATTGATCACTTATTCAATTTCTAATAATTTACATTGATTACATTGTGTCTACATAAAACAGACTTGTGTAAATATAATATAAATTGTACACAAATAATCCATGCAGATGTAATCTTGAAGTTTACCGCAAAACCGTAAAAAAACTTACGGGTTGAATTTAAAAAGTGCTTATCTCGCATCGATCATCTCTCTGCAAGCGTTAATGAAACACCGATGGAGTGCGAATGAATAATGCAAGAGCCAATCGTGCAGATCATAAAGCGGACGGTGTCGATTGGCGTGGAATCAATTAGTTCGAGAAATGCATCTGTGGAAATAACTCCTCGATTTTTCCCCTTTATCAATAACGGCAAAATCTCTCTGCAGGTATTACTTGCGCTACAATGTGATCGGTGTCGAGGTGAGTTAACACTTCTCGTCGCGGATCAAAGTTGCGCGAGTTCGTCGAGATCGAGATCCACCCGAGGCGGGTGCTCGCGGACTGTTTTGCACGATTGCGATCGCGTGCTATCATCGCGGTCTCATTATTCGCAACGAGGGAAGCCGGAAGCGATTCGCCGGACGACTCGTCCAACTTTTTCTTTTGGAATCGCGGAAAAGAGACGTGCAACGAGAGCCGATCTTAGGTAATACCCGAAGTCAATTAAATCTAATATATTCCAGACGTATTACGGCGCTCAATGTAATGATCCTTTCACCGAATTATTTTTTTTGTTTTAAATCTTTGTTATTGTTTCTTTAGTAATAAAATGCTAAATCGCTGAATCCTTTTTGTAAGACTTGCACTGAAAAAACTTTTCGCTACCGTAGCTAATCACGATTTGCTACAAATATTTTGTTACATTAACTATAAATTTCTACCACAGCAAACAGTTTGTTGTCGCACCTAATACAATAGGCACAGTAGCCAAATATTATCTGTCACAACTAAATATTCCCTAGCAGCACAGTGCATTGGCTAAATATTGGTCCAATGTTGGTTGTATTAGAAACGTATTGGCCGATGGTGTCCATCGTAAAGCCAATATTGGCCATGGAATGAATGTAAATATTGCACGGTAATAATTATATGATATTAATTTTATATTGGAAGTGCATTGGCCAATATTTAACAATGTAGTAAGAATATTGATCTAGTATTGATACTATTGTATCAATATTGTATCAACATTAGGCCAATTTTGCTAAATAGACGTATTGACTAATGTATTGGCCGATATTGTCCAACGTAAAGCCAATATTGGCCAGGGAATAAATGTAAATATTGCACGCTAATAATTATATAATATTAGATTTATATTGGAAGCGCATTGGCCAATATTTAACAATGTAATAAGAATATTGGTCTAATATTGACACAATATTGGCACAATATTAGACCAATATTGCTAAATAGACATAATGGCTAATGTATTGACCGATATTGCCCAACGTAAAGCCAATATTGGCTAGGGAATAAATGTAAATATTGCACGCTAATAATTATATAATATTAGATTTATATTGGAAGCGCATTGGCCAATATTTAACAATGTAATAAGAAGTGGTCTAATATTGATACAATATTGGACCAATATTGCGAATACTGGATTTACATTATTTCCTAATATTGCGCCAATATATTGTGCTACCAGGAATTAGCTGTCCATATTTTATAATTGAAATTTAGCTTCTACATACAGTTTTTAGCTACGGCAGCTACTCTCTTTCTTCGTGTACATATCCCAAACTCATGAAAGACTTAAAAGAAGGCTGTGATCGCGCGTCGTCGTCGGCACTTTAGACTGTACTCAAAATTTCGAACGACACCGAGACCATTTCGTTTAATTAACCCGTCTCGTCCTTGTTTTAGAGTCACCTGACCGCGTTTCGAGGCGCACGATGATCACGCGGACGAAGCTCTGGTGGAAGATCCTTCATTCCGGCGACAAGAATGATGTAAGTCACTCAATCCCGATTACACGCGTTGCGATTAGCAGTGCCGTAATTAAACACGTCCGCGAGAGCGGTGCCGCATTCTTCGGTGGTACCAATTCCGACGTGGAGCGCGTTGCGTAATTTCGGTATACTTTGTCGTTTCGCAAAGTGAAGCAAAAACGGCACGATAAGATGTTTTCTATCGAGACATTTATTTAATCGAGCATGCACAAAGGCGGTGCAGCCTTTTGTCAAGATTCCTTCTTGCGGAGAATGTATCGGCGTAACACGAATGGCACGAAATGATTATTTATGAAGTCGAAGAAGAACGCGAGCGCAATAATAAATAATAAAAATGTGATAAGAAACAAGTAAAAGCGAAAAGAGTAATTGGCGTAGAGGATACATTCGTTTCTCCCGCCTCTGTTGATTCTTGCCTCGAAACGTTGTAATCATTGCGAGGATAACTATAATCGCGAGCATCACGCACGCACAAAGAGGGGCACCATTAAACGAGGCCATTGAAGGATAGACGATCGTTTATAAATAAATAAATGGATAAACCTGCGGTGGAGGCGGCTGATCGGCCTTCTTGAGCGATCCTCGTCCTTCGACGCCGCGGAATTTTCGAAGCTAGCGTACGTATAAACACTCGTTCATTGTAACATTCCGCATCCTTTCGCTCGATTTTCCGTCCAACAGCGTCAAGGTAGGCCAACTTATCGCTAGCATAGTCCTTAACTAACATTTCTCAACATCCACAAATTTGTATATATTTCATTTTGTTTCATTCGTCTGTTTATTCCTGCATGTCTATTTCGCGAGCAGAGTCCCGTGATTGTGAACGTCCTCTGGTATTTGTGTATCCGCAAGACCAAGGGACGGAATCTGTCTCTCGGAGAGACTATTTGCCTAAGTCCCGCGCCTCTATTGTCACACGCGGGAGCGAATTTCCATACGAAATCCATACGATGTGGGTCTCGTAGCCCCGAGCGCACGCGATCCTTGACGCGACCTTCGGTCAGCTTACAGACCTCTTTCTCGCGATCCGAGGGATAATGACTAACGGCCGGAGACAATCATTGCTACGAGTGACTTACTCGACGTCCGCGACGCAGGCGAATCTTGCGTTTTCGTCTCGTACGATGCGTAAGGGCCAGGCGTCCAAGTTCTAGCATCGTGGACGTCGGGCCTTAAGACGACGTCGACTCTTTAGCCATGCTCCGAATGCGAAATGATAACGCGACTTGCGGAAGATACTCGCTGATCGTCCGACATACGTGCCAAGAGTCATGTCGAAATAAAAAGAGAGAGAGAGAGATATATATATATATATATATATATATATTTACTTTTCCTTCGAACGGCGTTTTAATCGGCTATTTTTCGTAACACGAATCAATTTCGTGACGTGAGATCTTGAGAGACTTCAATGCGAGAAATCAAATTATTTCTCCTACGTCGAGAATTCAAATTTTCTTTGTTTAATTAGGTTCCCGGATTCATGTAGAACGTAGAAAAGGATCTTTGGAAATGATGTTTTTTTTTCTAAAAACTCCAAAACTACAATCAAGTTGAAAGAACCGAAATCGCACCATCTTTAAAAAATCACTACCGAGTTCTTAAAGGAAGCTCCGCGCGACTGTAATGGCATTAACCGAAGGGATTTTTACAGCAAAAGAGGGAAAATATTCTAAGCTCCTCTCTCCCGCCGGTAACAATTTAATCAAGCTGTCGCTCGGTTAATCTTCTCTCTGCACGTATTTTTACACGCATGTATATTAAGTAATAATGACGTGTAATTAATGGAGGAAAGTCCTCTGTTGTGAGATAGGATTCTAACATGAGATAGTATTATAGGTTTTCAACGTCCAAATTCGATCACAAATCTTTTTTCGCAACGATTACACGATCTAACAATCAATTTTCCATTAAACAGCTTTCACTCCAAGGGCAATAAATTCATGGCGGAACCAATTAACGGATGACGCCTATTAATTTAGCAGAAACTTCGCTGTCTTATATTAGGATCCTATCGTATAATAAGGAACTTTTCTCTACAATTAATTGTCAAGTCATCGATCAGTTCGTAGCGTAATGTATCTACAGTAAATATGTGACATAGACTTTTCACAATCCGAACTTGCAGATTCTCGCGGGCTTGGCCGCGCACTCCGGCCAGATTTCCGTGGGTCTCTCCCAGGGATACAGCGCGATCCTGATACCGAAGCTCCTCGAGACCAACTTCGCGGACCAGTCGCAGGCCTCGTGGATCGCCTCTCTCGGTGTCATCTCGAATCCCCTCGGCGCCCTCGTCGCCGGGGTCTGCGCCGAATGTCTCGGCCGCAGGTCCGCGATCGCCCTGGCCACGTTACCGCACGTCATCGGCTGGCTGCTGATCGCGTTATCGAGAAACGTGCCGATGCTATACGCCGGTAGATTCGTCAGCGGCCTTGGCACCGGCATGGCCAACGGACTCTATCTCTACGTCAGCGAGGTACGCGGAGACGCGCGATTTTTTGGGTGCCTTCCAGCAAGAGATGCCGTAATTAGTACAATTATTAATTGCGCCCGATAATCTATACACGTTTTTTTTTTTTATTCTATTCGCGCTGATCGAATGCTGAAAGTGAAGATATCTGACTTTTTGTTTCAGACGGCAGCGCCAGATCAAAGAGCCTGGCTCGCGAGCTGCGGACCAATTCTGGTCTCCCTGGGCGTCTTGGTGATATACACCCTAGGTGCCGTCACGACGTGGCAAAAGGCGGCTGCTATCAGCATCGGACCCGCAATTTTAACGCTCGCGTTGACACGGTAATCGCTTGCACGACGTATCTATTTCGTTCGGCGACTGTGAAGTAAAGAGTCGCGAAGGTGCGCGCGTGTAAAGTCACAAAATTTCAAGCACTCCCAATTTGAAAAAGTGAACAATCCATGCACGGAGAGAATACACAGTCCGGCAATTTCCCATCCAGACTTTAAGTCTCCTAAACGCGTGGCGCTATTTGTCGGAACGATAATATCGTTAGAAAGGTGGGAATGTCTTCTATCGTCGAGAGAAGTTTGAAGTAGTTTGAACGCGACATTCTACTAGCAAAATGTATACTAAGTAAATTACTATTAAAATGTATGGTAAAATTTCAAAAAACTCTCATGCGGTTCTTCAAAATGCCATGTAGTCCCGCGATTACCTGATTTTCAGGGTAAATTTTAAGAGAGAATTCTTCACGTATAGCAATTCTTGAATATCGCTGAACAAACTGATTCGCTTCTGCAGGACGTTGCCGGAAACCCCAGCCTGGCTAGCGTCGCGGGGTCGAACGGACGAGGCGAAGGAGGCCCTCCTGTGGCTGCGAGGCCCCGGACTGAACGTCGACGAAGAGTATCGGGAACTCTGCGAGACGAACGCGAAGCGGAAGGAGAAGAAGGAGGGCCTGTTGCGGGCGCTGCATAAGCCCAACGTGTGGAAACCGTTCCTGATACTCCTCGCCTTCTTCACGCTCCAGCAGCTGTCCGGCATCTACGTGATCCTGTTTTACGCCGTGAGCGTGCTCAAGGACATCGGCATAGACGTGAACGAATACGCGGCCAGCGTGGGCATGGGTGTAATCAGGCTGTTCGCGTCGATCCTCGGCGCCGGACTTGCTAACAGCTTCGGTAGGAAGATCCTGGCCTTCGCCAGCGGTTTTGGCATGGCCGCCTCCGCCGTGGGAGTCGCCCTCTTCTTCAGGTTCGCACGTTTCAATCCCTTCGAGTTTTATTATACGAGGAGCGAGGGGGAGAAAAGCAAGTTCATGTTTTTATCCGCACTTTCGTACCTCGAGTCTTGACGTCCTTCGGAATTCTCCTTATTTCGTCGAGAGGTTTCTAGCGATCTTTGGAAGTGATATGGTTTTCTCTGCGCCCAGATTCGAACTTTCATCGTGGGTGCCACTACTCTGCATCGGGACCCACGTGGGCGCGTCCATGATCGGCTATCTCACGCTGCCGTGGGTCATGACCTCGGAATTGTACCCGCTGAGGTTCAGGGGCAGCCTGGGAGGTCTCACGACCAGCATCGCGCAGATATTAACGTTCACCGCGATCAAAACGTATCCGGATCTGAACGCCATCGTCGGCCTGGAGTTCACGATGTGGATATTCGGCGCGGCCGGCGTGCTGGGCGCGATCTTCGCCTTGGCGATGTTGCCGGAGACCCGCGGACGCAGCCTCGACGATATCGAGATGAAGTTCTCCAGCAGGCAGTGCGACAGCTCGTCGTACGCCCGCAAGATCTTCCCCAGCGTGTGGCCGAAGAACATCATTCTCCAGCGATTCACGTCGATCTCGGAGGAGAAGCAATCGAATATCGCGGCGAACGCGTACGTTTACGACAATTTCTGCCTGGAGCTGTCCCCGGAGAAACTCGAGAAGGATATCAAAATCCCTGAGAGAGAATCCATTCGGGATCAACGAATCGTAACCGGCATCGCGCTCGAACGCGTGTGCGTTTAATGCGAGAAATCCGGAACTTTTGCCAGAGATCATTCTTGCGCGAATTTATGTGGCATTAGTTTACGCGTTTAAGAGATAATTATTTATTTATTTTATACAATTAATTAAGAAACCGAGGATTACGTTGTTGACAATCGCGATTGGTATAGATACCGATTCGTATCAATCATCGTTAAGCCCGTATCAGACTACGGATTGAGATTGGGATTAGATTGAAATTTGACCAATCGCAGTAAAGTTTACTAATCTCAAGTGCAGTAACTTTTACTCTGATTGGTCAAATTTCAATCTAATCCCAATCTCAATCCGTAGTCTGATACGGGTTTTAAATGTTCCTTCAGTATTACGAGCATTCCTAGGATTGTGGTATCAAAGATTATTAAATTTTACGTAATGTTTTTATGACGATTACGCATAATTGTATATGTATGCATACTTTCTGAAATTTTATATAAGTAACTTTTATGTAATTTTCTGAACAAACGCTTTCCCTGTAAAATTGGCTCAGCGCTGTCTTCTTATTCCTAAGTAAGCATTTTTTATACAGATTGAAACCATGTGTACGCCATGACAAGTTGTAAATATCGAATGGTGTAGTTTAATGTTAATTGCATGTTTGCATAAAATGACAAGGGCCATTTATTTTCGACCTTTCCTATCGTATGGTACAAATGTTCACAGCTTCCTTACACGCCAGTAAAACGTTCGCGAAAAGTAAAAACTTGCCAGTTTCGATTTGTGTGTATTTACACGTAAAGAAAAATGTAACTGCCATAGCTAAAAACTGCACGTGGCAATTAAATTTTAGTTGTAAAATACCGACAGCTAATATTCAGTTGCGACAGCTAAATATTTTGCTACCGTGTCTATTGTATTAGATGCGACAGCAATCTTTTTTCTTGATTTGCTTTCTTTTCTCTACGCTCCGAAATATATTATAAGTATACGTTCATACATCGCGAAATATCGATTATTGCCAGATTAATTAATTCCAGTTCATTACTTTTAAATTGACTGTACAGTATGAACTATAAATAGCCACAAAACAAAATTCGCAGTATTAATGAAATAATTAATGATGTAACAAACGTTCTCAGACATGGGTTACATTGCGATTGATCTTACTATATATGCTGCTATATATGTAAGACACTTACCTCACGATTTCTCCGCCGTTGCCCGATGCCTCCTGGGCCTGCTCCTCCTATCAGATTTCCTTGTTGCACTTACACAACACTCACTCGCAAAAATCATCGATCGCGCGAAATTTCAGACACTCCCGTACGCGATGTGAAATACCACGAAACGCACGAAATATTATTAACAAATATCGCATGGCTTTCTGTCATACAAATTACTCAAACTAACGACTTGTATTTTTCATTCGGAATAATGGATAAATCACTTTTGAATTGTCGATAGAAAACGCAACGCGAGCATCGGAAGCATATTCTGCGGTAAACAAGTAGTTATTAGTCCGCAACGAAATGATACTTTACAATCTTTGTTATTCAATCTAATCCTCAAAATTAATTATGTGAGCTAAATTTCCAGCGATAAATAGTTGTTATTAATTGCGACAGTTAATCGGGATCATTTTCGATTACATTTACATAATGTAAGAACGTGCAATAAGTAACTTTCTTTACTTCCTGCCCGTCCGAGTTGCGAAGAACGACAGAACAAGTTACAGCGCGATCGCTCAAGTTCGTACAAATTTCTCTCTTTTCTCGAAAATGGATTACGCGAACACGATAGATAATTAAAAGCGCGGTGCATAAACGAGATATAACCGCGACAAAATACCACGGTTTACATTCATAATTTAGATGAATTAGTCTCGTGAAATATCTAACGCGTTAATAAAGAGCTGTCGCCTCAACATGTAATTCGTTTCTCATTACAAGTTGTAGAAACTTAATAATTTAAGTATGTACGTGTGTGTACGTGTGTGTACGTGTGTACACACACTAAAGTAGAAAATTAATAATAAAATTAATCGAGATACGTTACTTGTTACTGATGTGTACAAATCAATAGCGTTTTATCCTTATATTCATCGCGATCGAGTCTTGGAAACTAATAACACAAAAGTAATAACACACACGGAGCGACTCTCGCCACTGCTTGCCGGCTCGACGTTCGGCGAGCGAGTGAGAGCGCGGCGACCTTATGGTACACAATGGCACGCAAACGTCATGCGTCACCGCGCCGAGAGAAAAACTACGAACGTTGAGAATTCGAGCGACACAAAAACACAATAGATTGTTTTTGACCGACGTGTTTACGGCGCTACGTCATTTCTTGGAATCCGTGCTTGGTTTTCGGCAAAGGTGTTTATGGCGCCGCACGCAGGATCATTCACGCGACGACAGTCGAATTGAACGATTATACCCGCGCCGCTTCGCATATACGTATTGTTCTTTCTTGATACGCGTTCGCGACAAGTGCGGGAAGAGACCGCGATCGCTCTCTGCGAATAATCAATGATCGATATCATCGTGCGATCGTTGAATTCCCGCGATTTGTGTCAGTGATTTGTGCGAGTATCAGTGCGACGATGTAATCGAACAGTTCGTAGTGGCACTCGAACTCAGTGACAATCGGACACAGTGAGAGCCGAAAAAGTGGCATTTGGATACAGCGAGAGTGACAAGTGACTTTACAAATTGTCAGAGATGAATTGTAAAGGCTCGTCTACAATACATGGAGTAAGCTGGAGTAAGGAGTAGGAGTAAGGAAATAAATCCATTTTATTTCTTACTCGTACTTCAGCTCTTAGGTTTAAGCCTATCACACAATGCCAGGCAACATACAATAGGAATAGGGAATGGAATTTTTGACGCGTTGAATTTGTCGGAAATTTTCTTCCAACCGATCCAACGCGTCAGAAATTCTATTCCCTGTTGCCTGACATTGTGTTTGGGCTTTTACTCTTGGTGAATCAAAATGTCATCAATCAGTGTTACAAATATTTTAAAAATTATCAAAAGCTAGAAGTTAGGGCTTTCTCTTACTCCACGTATTGTAGACCAGCGCTAACCCGCTTCAGGAACGATAAACTCCTTCGGTACAACACTGAGCCACAATATGTGAAAATAAAACGCAATGACGTATATTGATTATAAATGGTGATACAGATACATGATATCGGTGGAACCCCTTAAAATATAATATCCATGTAATGTGAACATTACATTTTTGCAAAATCGTATGCGGAGAAGGGGTATAGAAAATATAATTTTCTCGATTGTATGTATGTACATGTTACAGCGATGTGGAGTTTGACGCGTTCGAGAGATAATAACACGCACGACGTTTCCAGCTTCTTCCCGCATTTCTGTGTCTTCTTATAAAACAGTCGCAAGTACAAAATCATGTACAAATCGGAGAACTCGATTTCCCAGTATCAACAATTTCATTAGCCGCGCAATTATCACGCGCAAGCGATGATCGGAGTGTCAATATGTACAGTAAAACTACAATATCCTCTCATCGATGAATTACACGATTTTCTATATAATATCGATCACATTTAGCGTTTAAAATCGTCAGGTATGTGTATATACCGTCGCTTAAGAAAACTCACGCTTACGATCTATTAAATGCAAAAATTGTGGGGAGAAGTTTTTAAGTACAAAAATAATGAGACAATTGCCGCGCTGAATATTTTCTTTCTCCTTAATATCTTGATCGACGCGTTGTACGAACGATGCCTGTATTTCCTTGAGAATTATGGCGTTTGAGGATACAAAGGGATTTTTCACCATTTCGCTATGTTGAAATTATGTAAAAAATCGCAACTTGTTGGAAAATCATGGTATTTTAATTTTCCAATGCCACAATTTTCAAAAAGACGCAGTCACAATCCTCTGCACATCCTCCCGTGGCGATCAAAATGTTAACGGAGGGCATGGAAAGCATGTAAAACATTTAAAAATAAAATGCTCCGATTCAATTCCTCGATCAGCCGTTACATATCTTACAAACTCTACTTTCTGATTCAACATACAATTACAATCAGGCAGTTTAGGCTTTTACTACAAATCTTTAAGAAAATAGCTAGATACTCATCTCTCTTCTCCCTCGTCGCGCTGCCCTGTTGCACAGAGTCCTCGGGAGGGGTTAAATTCGGTTCCCTTCGATATATTTACAACATTGGGACCTCGATAATTACATTCATACTTTCGGCATTTTTCCTTTACAAGTCATAATCCTACACGTCCTCGTGTGACAAACCAAATCACAAAATCACTGCGAACGCGCGATCGGAATTGACTTTGATGTCCGAGCAACTGAAGGCGCGAAGGTAAAATGTAGAAAATTATTTCAAGGCAAAACGTCTCTTTGTGTAAACGTAGATAAAAATATGATTGGCGTTGGCGCAGAGACCGTGCGTCAAAATTTTCAACTGACCGTGAGAATGAACTGCCGCTGGGAATGGAAGACGTCCGGCTAATGAGAAACGATCTAATTTAGTAAATGCAATCAATTGAGCGTTGTCTACATACTTCCGTGTCGATATTTCCATTGGTATCTAAATATTTGTATACCCTAGCATAAGAACAAATTGCGCGTTTTTTAATCGTTACACCTACTCGACTGCAAACCGATGATACGCCGCAGGTTTATTGTTAGATCTATAATTGCATTCGATACTTACTTAACGCAGCTATTATTACTTCGTTATTATTATTATTCTCTGGTCCATATTCGAGACTCGCGTTAATCGATTGTGGGAGAACCTTATTATACGCGTTATATATTAACCGAAGTGATCGATTTGGAAAAATTATGCAGGCAAACATATCGCTCGAAATGTAGGAGGTATACATGTGCGTTAATTATTATATTTAGAAGTTATAGGCTACGAGAGATGTGGAAACTGCACAGATGCGCGCGGCGAAGCTATATCTCGTTCTCAGTTATGTATAAAGAGATATACGTATATGCAAGATATTTCAGAGGGGAGAAAAATATAAATGTATCGCGTAATCCCGACATTTCGCTAGAATGAAAAATAAGACTTGTGGGTGATGTCCAAGAGGAATACAGTTGAGCGCTAACGGCAAAATTTTGTCGTCTCAAAACGTACTGATTACAACGCAAACGGTCGAAGAAAACGATTGGTATTAGCGCGTCAAACGTCCTGTTGATCGTCGATCATATCGGACATTCTGGAGGCCGTGCTCATTCGCACTCGCCCGCTTTGAGGACAACTTGCATTTGGGGTGGCGGTGGGCGATTTTGTGTATTTTCCAGGGATAGGAAACTAGTTACCGTTACTCGTTACCGAGTAAACAATGCAATTCATTACCGTTATAGTTACCGACTTTCCAAAGTAACTCGCTATCGTTACCGTTACTCAAAAAATAACGATTCGTTACTTTTTAATTCTGAAACGAGATCAGACAAACTAAAACAAACTAAAACTGCTTTCGTATTAGTTTTTGTTTACTAAGATATTAGTAAAACAATTTTTTATTTTAAAGTTATAAAACCATGAAAAATTTAAGAAAATACCTTTTAAAACGCTCAAAACGTAAGTAAAAAAAATTTTGATTCCTATGAAAAGTATAAATATAGCTAAAGTTTTTTTTATTGTACTCCCAATTTTTCGTTCAAATTTTTAACGCAATAATTTGAAGCTTGTCTTAAATATAACAACCCATGATAATAATAGATTATGAATATCGATCGATGCCTGAAGATTAAATGTAAGAAAATATAGCGTTATATTTTATAATTAGGTTTAAATTATGAAAAGTAATGATGAAAGTTACTGTTAAATTCGTTACAGTTGCTAAAAAAAAGCAGTAACTACGTTACCGTTACAGTTACAAAAAAAAGCAACGTCGTTACCAGTCCGTTACTAAAAAAAGTAACTTGTAACGGTAACGGCGTTACTTCCATAACCTGGTGCTTTCCAGAGGGGTGTTGGGGAATATGACCACTCTGCTTCCACGCTGGTCTATCAAACCAACGAGTGAGATACCAAACATACGCGCTACTATCATATTATTCCCTGCTTTATTCAATGAAAGGGAATAGGCAAGTGAAAAAGGGTCTATCGAGCGGGCCTCAGTAGGAAGAACAGTCGCCCGGTAAGCGAAGTCCCAGATTCGAATCCTGACCTAGTCTCCTCGCCCGATATTTTTCTCGCCGAAAATCTACTATCTAATTACGCGGCGCGTCTTACAAGTAGTGTCCACCTGTTTGATATACCCTTAAATATTATCCTGGACGCGACTGATAATGGATAGTATATGCACCCGAACATGTCCGAAATGTTATTGTACACTCGTTCTAATTGACGGATTTTGAAACGAAATTACAACACTTGATTGTAAATGTATCTCGAGACGTGAGACAATGTTATACCTCGCATATGCATAATTAAATGAACAGAAAGCTGGATGACTTTGGATACTGTACAGCTCGATCGTCTCTCCTAAGTATACTTAGATCTATCGGCTATTTTTAAGTAACTCTGGTTAACTTACGTCCGTACCCCTCTTGGCAGTCGGTTAATTGCTCTATCGAGTTCTCGATAGCGCAGACATCGGTATTGTCACGATTGCTACTTATGCTAATCACCATGGGAGATCCAGCCACTCTGGCAATCTCGCCCGGTTCGTCGGAATTGGAGGCTAATTACACTAGAACGGAAAAGAGCCAGCTGCTCGTGGAGATCAGTCTAGCAGCATCGATGTTTCCGCGTCTCGAGCCGACGTTCATTCTCGCTCGGAACACCTGGCGATCCGTGCGCGCCGACGCTCGTTGTCAGTAAAACTCCGAGTCGGAGCTGTGCTGCGAGTCCACACCGTTCAGATATACCTCCAACGTGTGCTGAATAGCCGGCGAGTATTGCGTGGTTTCCCCATTTTGACCTGACGATTTCAACATCACCGTCTTACATCGTGCGTAAAGACATTTGTTTTTTTTTTTAGGACATGGAAAAAGGAATGTTACCCTGCGCGGCGAGAATAGTAGCCAAACACTTGGCCACCGCCGGATTTGGGGCACACGCTAATGCGGGCGTGAGTCCGTCGGCGTCGACAGCTATGACACTCGCGCCCAATTGCAACAGTCGTCGCGTGATCTGCGAGTAACATAGTATTTTTTTGTTCATTTCTCATTCCAGAAGACCTCCCTATCATACTTGTATTGTTAAACGTTGTCTCAGCTTACCGTGACGAGACCGTTTCTCGCCGCCAGATGCAGCGGCGTTCTCTGCTGCTTGTTGATCATGTTAATGACGGAAACGCGCTGCGATTGCGACGTGTTCTTGTCGGTGTCGGGATTGCCGAGCGACTCGATCCAGTTTAAGAGCAACGACGCCGCGGCGGAATGACGTCTCTGGCACGCCAGGTGCAGCGCTGTATTTTTATTGGAGTCAACAGCACGCACGTTGGCTTTCCATTCGAGCAGTAACTCTGTCGGCGGAATGCGTTTCGTTAATACGTGACTATCAATTAATAACGAAAATAACGTAAGCTTCATCGCAGGGCAGCCAAGTTACCGATTGCGTTGCACTGTCCGTTGACAGCCGCGCAAAGAAGCGGCGTACGTCCGAAGTAATCGATTGACTCGAGCCCGGCTAGTTCCGGCCCGACGGAATTCAGAATTAATCGCGCGCACTCGACGGATCCCGCACTCGCCGCGACGTGCAGTGGCAATAAACCACACGACGAATCCCTCGGTGCGGCAACCGCTTGTCCGCCGAACTTGTTGATCAGTAAGTCTAGGCAGTGCGCGGATCCCTGATATACGGCGCAATGTACGGCGGAAAAAGGATTACCTATAAATATATATATATATTTTTTTTTTCAATTGCTCGACGTACTATTGAATAATCATCTCGGAAAAGCGAGAAACCACTTGCCTTCCAAGGAATCGAACACGTTGTGATTCAAGAGATACTCCACGCAGTTCGAGTTACCGTTGTAGCAGGCCCAGTGGAGCACCGTGCAGCCTTGATCGTCCTTCAAAGCTGCCGCGGTCAGATCGGCTTTAACGAGCGCGGCCAGCGCGTACAATCTGCAAGCAGACTCGGGATGACAGAGCAGCTCGATACGCGCGGCGAAAGATTGTGTACGAACTTGTAACTTCCTACCTGCCGCAAGCCGCTGCTAAATGTAACGGCGTTTTACCGTTCACATCCTGCACGGCCACCTGGGCGCCGTGCTTCAGCAACAGTTTCACCAGCTGATTGTCGCGCTCGTTGATCACCGCCCGAAACAGCGGCGTGTGCTTGTTGACGTCCGACAGATTGCAGTCGGCCTTGTACGTCAGCAGCAGCATCGCGCACTCCGGATAGTTGTTGGCCACCGCCAGCGTTAGAGCTGTGCGTTGCTTAGAATCGGAGCAGTTCACCACGTTGGGAACGTCCATGTTCTGCAGAAGGAGAGCCAAGCAATCCGCGTGGCCTGTCGCGGCGGCGCAGTGCACGGGCGTGCGTTTCGTGATCGAGTCCTGGCAACACGACGACGTCAGTGCATGTGTAAACGTTAGGCTCATCGAGCGAGGAGGTCCAGATTTCTCTCACCTGTACCGCCACGGAAGCGCCAGCTTTCAGCAGGAGCGCGATACACTGTTTGTGCCCTTTGTAAGCAGCCAGGTCGAGTGGCGTCTTACCGCTGTCTTCCTTGATATTCGTATTGGGGAACAAGGGCAGGAGCAGCTCCAAGATCTCGTCGTGACCGTGATACGCCTGATGACACGTTTCACGAGTTAATACCTGGCATTTCACTGATATCGAGTGATTTCTAATTCGCGCGTCCGTTGTGTTTTACATACCGCGAGGTGTACCGGAGTGAGCGCCGGCACGGACAGCTCCTGCCCGATCGAAGAGCTCGGCGAGGTGGCCAGATTCGAGGGCGCCGACGACGCATTTAGAAGCGCCTCCAGTGCCTCTTTATTGCCGCCCGCCACCGCGTAGTGGATCGCGGTGAAGCCGCGTTTGTCGCGTAACCGCGGGTCTGCCCGATGCTGCAGCAAGTATTGCACGCACCTGAAAGACCTGCGCGAGATTAAAATAGATCACAGAGACAGATGAACGAGAGAAATTGGTCCGCCAAGAGAGTGATAGAGTGAGAGAGTAATAGCGTTTTCGATTTGCTGACTCGACCCGACTCCGAGTCAGCAAATCGAAAACGCTATGAGAGTGAGAGTGAGAGTGAGAGTGAGAGTGAGAGTGAGAGTGAGAGTGAGAGTGAGAGTGAGAGTGAGAGTGAGAGTGAGAGTGAGAGTGAGAGTGAGAGTGAGAGTGAGAGTGAGAGTGATGCGTCGTCTACAATACGTGGAGTAAGCTTGGAGTAAAGAGTAAGAGAGAGCCACAACTTCTAGCTTTTGGTGTAAGGAAGCTAAAATACGGGCATGGTTTTTAAAATATTTGTAACACTGATTGATGGCATTTTGATTCACCGAGAGTAAACCTAAGGGCTGAAGTAGGAGTAAGAAGTAAAATGGATTTATTTCCTTACTCCTACTCCTTACTCCAGCTTACTCCATGTGTTGTAGACCAGCCTTGAGAATGAGAGTGAGAAAGATACTGACTGAGCGTTAGAATTGGACGCCGCTGCAGCCAGATGTAACGGCGTTGCACCGTTCACGTCCTGAGCGTTCGAGTCGCTACCGAAGCCGACTAGGGTGAAGACGCAAGGGTAGTGCCCTCGGCACGCGGCATGATGAAGAGCCAATCGATTGTCATTGTCAACAAGACGGAAATTGGCGCCGCTGGACAATAGCAGATCCAAACAATCCACGGAACCCTATTTAGAACGACCACAATGTATTCTTCCGCGCGATAGTAATATTATTGGATAAGCTGTTGTAGAAAAATTAGAACCTGAACGACACGCTACCTTAAATGCTGCTAAATGCAAGGCTGTCCTGCCGCCGATATCTCGCGCGTCGATTCGCCTGCTGTCGAGTTGCAGTAATTTTCTACAGACCTGCGGCACGACAAAAGCAAATAGGACATTAAATCGTTGCGATATGGACCGAATGTAATGTGCATGTTGAAAAGATATGTGGCTAACTTCTATGTGTCCCGCTAAACAGCTCAGATGCAAGGGTGTACGTTGCTGTGCGTTGCGCGTAGCCGGAGACGCAGCGCTCTCCAACAGAGATGTCGTCAAACACTCGAAGCCAAACCTGCAATTTCGAGTTCGTTCTTACCATCTCGCTCAACGCGAAGCGAAACGTCTCTACAAAGAGCAGAAATCTCTGTGGCCACTAGATGATTTACCAAGCGGCAATGTGTAACGCGGTGTTTCCATTTTTGTCCCTCGCGTCCGGAAAAGCCCCCGCGTCCAGCAACGTTTTAGATCTCGTGAATCTTCCGTGGATCGCAGTCATATGCAACGGCGTACGACCGTCCTCCGACTGAACGTTGACCTTCAATCCGTTGTATATCAGCATTTTGAAACAGTGAACGCCGTGTAGACTGGCGGCGGCGACGTGCAACGCGGTCTGCCCTCGATAATTCACGGCCTCTGTTGTGTGACCGACAAACACATTCGTTTACTCGGACATCGTGAAACACAGTACAGAGCCCTGACAATGACTCACCCAAATTAACGCGATTAGCTACGAGTTCCTTGATCACGGGCGGACATCCGTTCAAGCACGCGATATGCAGCGGTGTATTTCCGTACACGTTCTTGGCCTCGATGTCGCCGCCAGCTTTGATTAAAATGCGCACACATTCTACATTATCAGAGGCGGCTGCTGCGTGTAACGGAGTGTACAGGTCCCGATCCTTAACACAGACATACGCAAAATTTTCATATATCTATGACACAGCCGGAACACAAGAACGTTCTACCGAAAGTTTCGCAAACAATTTCGTACTTTAACGTCCACGTCGGCGCCTTTGGCTATTAGCGCTTTCACAATGTCGTTGTGGCCCTTGTACGCCGCGAAGTGCAAGGCCCTTCGGTCCTTCTTGTCGGAGGCATTTATCACGCAGCCCAGCTTATTTAGCAGCAGGTACTCGCATATTTCGAGATGTCCGTTATACGCTGCGTGATGAAGACACGTTTTTCCACCTCTGCGGAAATTAATGATGCAACAGTAATCTTCTATACTTAATGTGTTATCAATAATTTTTTAATCGGTGATTTTCCATTGCGCGGCGGTCGCGAGGTCATTCGCGATAAAGATACGAACAAAAACATGCACAAACCTGTCCGTGACATTAATATTTAACAAATGCGGTACTAAAAGTTCTACGCATTGCACAGCGTTGTTCGCCGCTGCTACATGAAGCGGCGTCTGCCAGCTGCGGTCTCGGGCATTCACGTCCGCTTTGTATTTCAACAAGATGTCTACTACGTTGTAGTTGCCCGAGCAGCAGGCTCGGTGCAAGGGCGTCAGCCATTTCTTGTCTTTGCTGTTCACCGCCGCGCCGTTTAGCAAAAGAAGCTCCACAATAGCCGTGTCTCCCCTGAAACGTGAATACCAGAAGTGTTTGAACTACACGATTAATCGAAAAGCGACTCTCATCAAGACACTTCTCAGTTTAACAAATTTTAATTTATAAAGCTTTAATTAAAAAGCCAATTAGATTCACGAGCAATATTGGTTTTAAACGGTTTTTAATAGTTAATGTGCCATCATATTAGTCTTAACATTGTAACGACATATATAACAATATGTAACAAACATTTCGACGTAACTTTGTCTTCTTCAGCGTTTGTTTGTATCAACTATAATAAGAATTTAAATATTACATGTCAATATATGGTCTGTGTAGTTATAAAATCTTTGGCGTCTAGAACTGTAACGACACTTCATTCATTTCATTCTCGTTGAGTTTATTAACTGAAATATCGACCTGTACGCTGCCGCATGTAAGAGCGAGCGTTGCTCCTTGTCCTGCCAGTTGGCGTCTTCTTTCTGCGACAGCAATGTGCGAACTGCCTCCACATTTCCGTGAAATATGGCTTGCAGCAAAGGAGGCTGTAAAAAATGTATGAACAATTACAAGGCGTCTTTCCGCCATTACGGCATAGATCTTTGAAGGATATTAAAAAATATAATCGAGGCTTTGTTAGGTCCAGTTTCACAAACGTCGGTTAACTGTTAACCAGAGTTCAGTCGACTTCCTATCTTTCTCTATCTTGTCATCCAAGAAGAGACAGAGGATCAATTAACCATGGGTTAGCGGTTAAACGACGTTTGTGAAACTGGCCCTTAGAGACACTTGTAGCCTGCGAAAAATGGCAACGTATCGTCACACAGTCACAATACGAGCGCAAGGGATCCACCAGCTAGAGTCTTCCTGCCTCCTCCATAACAAAGGAACCAGAATTTTCGCAAATTCCTAAGACAGAGCGCACAATGCGCGTTTAAGTCCAATCCACAACGTGCTCTCTGCATCTAGAAACATTCTGTTTTGTGTAAACAAATCGAAGACTTTGTCGTACAACTGTACAATGTACAATACACAACTTGCACAAATTTTTGCAACGCATTTACCGGCTACAAAACAGAATGTTTCCAGACGCAAAGAGCACACTGTAGATCAGGCTTAAAATCTGTCGACAAGTTGATAAGCTGTGTATTATACTTTGTACAATTGTACGACAAAGTCTGTGATTTGTTTATACAAAAGAGAATGTTTCTAGACGCAGAGAGCGCATTGTGGATTAGACTCAAACGCATATTGTGCATTCTGTCCTAGGAATTGGTTAAAATTCTGGTTCCTTCGTTTTGGAGGAGGCACGGAGACTCTTGCTGGTGGACCTTGCGCTCGTATCTTGATTGCGTGACGTTGCACTGCCAGTTTTCGCAGGCTACAAGTGTCTGCAACAAAGCTTCGATTACATTTTTTAATATTTGTCAAAGGTCTACTCTGTAATGTGTTTTTCGCAACGAGAAACATTCTGTTTTACACAGGCAGACCGACATGCTTAAAAACTTGGTCAACAATGCACAATTGTGCAGCGTACAATATGCAGTTTATCAACACGCACAGACTCTTTAAACGTGTTCACTGGTTGTAAAATAAAATGTTTCCAGACGCGAAGAACACGTTGCGGATCAAGCTTTAGACTTCGCAGAAACGAGGGGGTCAATTCTGCATCTTACAATATAATAAAAATGCTAAAAGTGAGCGGCCTCGTCGCAGTTAGAAAGCAGACGAAGCTATTCGCTCCTATCATTTTCACTCTAGTGCAAGGTACAGAATTGACCCCCCGAGGGGGCAAGCAGCGGGGACGTGGGGCGGTCCGCGCCAGACCGGGACGCGAATTTGACACGAGCGGGCTAACCTACGTCTCGCGGACGGGCGCGACAGCTCGGCGGAGCCCCGGAGGGGACGAGACGACGCGACGTACCTCGTCGTGCAGATCCTTGAAGGCGTTCATGTTGGCGAGCGCGGCGCAAGGGCGCTCTCCGCGTCCGGGTCGTCGTTCCTTCTCACAAGAGCATTGTCATCCGCTCGCGAAGGGATGAGTCATCGGGCGCAAGATCCGTTCTCTCGATCGCCGCTGCCGCCGCCGCCGCCGCCACTGCCGCCGCCGCCGACTGGCGACTGAGCACAGGTCCGGTCGGGGGCCCAGGCGCGCGTGTCACGCGTGTCCGATTCACGGCTCGCTCACGGCCGGCGCGTCCGAACAACGAGCGACGCACCGTCGGCCTCGCCGCGCGTCCCACCGTCGTGTGTATTCACGCGCACGTGGCCGCTCCGTCCGACGCGCTCCTCGCTACCGCCGCCATCTTCGACGTCGCCGTGCGCGAGCTTGTAAACAACGGCGGCGGACGCGGCCTCTGGAGATCGCGCGCGCGGCCTCGCGGCCAGGGTTGCCAGATTTGGCGATTTTACGCCAAATTGGCGATTTCTAGAGACCATTTGGCTCTGAAAAATTGCAGTTGGCGACTTGGCGATTTTGATTTTTTTGACGATTTTGACTATTTTTTTGGCGATTTTTGCAATGTGGCGGCGAGTGTTGATTAATGGCCGATTTTTTCACTTCCCGATATTACCGACAGAATTACCATTTTCGTAATATACATGAGCACACGGACACACTACTACGATACATCACACGCATCATAAACACGAAAGTTTAATACTAGCTATACTCTTATTTTAACCGTCTAATCCCAATTTAGAGGGTTTCACAGTAATTCTACATGTCATCGAATCCTGGGAAACTCAGTTTCATGTGAGTACAAGTTGTAGAACTTTTATACGAAGCACAAGTATGACGGAGTTGACAGTTCGTCTAAATGAGGTTATATGTGATCGATATATGAATTTTGTAATTTTTACTCATTTTTGGTATAAAATTGGAGTTTCCCGGGATCATCAATGCATATACTGTAATTGTACCCAAGCATTTTTGATTCCATAAATTTAATACGACGATAGGTTATAATTACGAAAATGGTATTCTGTCGGTAAAACAGACCCGCTACGGGATCCTCACGTGCATGGATCTGGTAGTTTATCTCCAGGGGTGCTTTCGCGACGTAGAGTAAAATGATCCGTGCTATGATTGGTCAAATCTGAAATTTCGTAGCATCTCATTGAAATTTTATTCAATGAAATTTCAGATTTGACCAATCATAGCACGGATCATTTTGATCCGGATCATTTTACTCTACGTCGCGAAAGCACCCCTGGTTAACTTTGGCTTTGTTTACACCGTAAAATTATTTGATACGTGAACCAAAATGATGCGTACCAAATGTTAAATCCGACTGCGTTTACACCATGTGTATTAAGTGTGCAAAAAAGTACATTAAGGTTAGGTTTGATACAGAAACGTATTATATATTTAATTTGGTTGGAAAATCGGTGATCCTTAGATTGCGATGGATTCGGAAAATATTATCAGTTGTTTATTTACAAGCTTAGTCGGACTTTTAAAAATAAGTCAAGATTTTCGAAGAAAACCTCATCTCACCTAACCGTAACGTTCCTTCGATAATTATTATTTAATGCGCTACAGTTTACACCGACACAAAATTACTTGATACGCATACTAAATTGGTACGATACTCCTTTTGCAAGCGTATCGTACCAGTTCAGTACGCTATCGTTTACACCGCTGGACTAAATCAATTTAGTACGAATATAGTACCTCATACGCGTATCAAACGATCGGTGTAAACAAGGCCATTAACCGCAACATAAGTCCCAGTCTACAATAGATGATTTAAGCCCTAAGCTTTAAGAAATTGGCCAATCACGGTCAAGTATGAGTAGAATGCGCGACTGTGATTAGTCAATTTCTTAAGGCTTAGGACTTAAATCTCTATTGTAGACTGGGACTAACTGGATGTGAAGAAATCGGGCATAAGTGTGATTCGTTGAATCCAAAGGTAAGTCCCAGTCTACAATAGAGATTTAAGCCCTAAGCCTTAAGAAATTGACTAATCACAGTAGCGCATTCTTCTCATACTTGACCGTGATTGGCCAATTTCTTAAAGCTTAGGGCTTAAATCATCTATTGTAGACTGGGACTAATGGTGCGGTCCCATGGACGCGGAACGTGCGCAATACGAAATTGGCGGAACGCTTGTGATTGGTTGATCCATTTTTACGTTCGTTCCGCCGATTTCGATCTGCAAGTTTTCATTTTATCCATAACGTGTAACCTAACCTTGATCCGCGGACAGAAGTCAGTGAACACAAGTCTGAGGGTGCTTTCACATGGAGCGTAAGTTGCGTAGCGTAACCTGCGTATCACCAATCACAGGGTCTTGCTGATAGAACAGTTTCAATAATTCCGTTGAACTAGTCCTGTGATTGGCGATACGCAGGTTACGCTATGCAACTTACGCTCCATGTGAATCCAGCCTCAGATATTATTTTTGAGATTGTGTTGTGCGCAACTCTGAAAGCATATGAGAGGGATTTCATACTATCCCCTGATGCTAAATAGCGCAATGTACGTAATTTGGAGTCTAGTGTCAGGCAAAATAGGTTCATGAATAGCATATATGTTGTTTAATGATGACCGGTCTGACCAATGTCAATAATGCTTCAGATATTTCAGGTACCATCCTAAAATAAGCTACATATTTTTCTGTATCTTCAGTAAACATTTCCTTTACAAGATTTTCACTTGCACCTTGTTGTAATCTTCTTTCAATGCTAAATATAGGTCGCACCCAATAGTTTCGTTTCTTTTTATTATAATTTTCATTTATTTCAGAAATTCTGTACAATGCATATAACTTTGCAATCTTGTGGCGTATGTCCTAGCTGTTTTT